AAATAATGAGTGATTTATGAAAAAAAAAATTACCGGAACTAAAAAGTTTACGTGTTTAATATATTTTTAATAGAAAAATTGTAAACACAATTACTTAAAAATACTACATATAAAATATAAGAAATCTTATATCCTCCCTATATGTACTTAAAAAACATAACTTTTCTCAATTCAACATAAGCAAATCAATGAAAATAATATATTTTTAAAAATTTTATGAACAAAAGTTGACTCGACAATATTATTAATGAATTTATGAATTGTAAATATTTAATTAAAATATTAATTAAAAAATTGTAATTAAATATAATATAATATAGGATATACATATATTTGATATATAATGAGGCAGATGATCGAAAAAATTCTATACTTTATATTATGTCGTTATTGACAAATCTACAGTTAAGAACATGTGAAAGAACAAGATAAAGGTTTAAAAGAACATTAAATATAAGATTAAATATGAATAATAACTAAGTTGTGACACGTACTAATAAATATAAAACAAACTAATAAACAAAAATAATATAATTAATATAACTAAATATAAACCTTCTTAAAATATACTTATCGATGTAATCGAACTGAGTTGTTAAACGCTTGTTAGTTTTTTGTTCTTATTAATTTTATGTGTAAATATGAGGTGATAGACAATAGTTATTTATACATTTATACATGTAGATTAGCAAAAAAAACTTTATTATTCTAATTTCAAATAACTTTTTTATTTACTATATTAGTTTTTTTAATATAATATATAAGTATCATATTGAACATATAAAACAAGAAATATTTTAATTATATAATATTTAATATGTAAGAAATGTAACTCAATTGGTAAATTAATAGGTAATCTTGGGATAAAATAATGAGTGATTTCTGAAAAAAAAAATTATAGGAACTGAAAAGTTCACGTGTTTAATATATTTTTAATAGAAAAATTGTAAACACAATTACTCAATAAATACTACATAAAAATATAAGAAATCTTATATTCTCCCTATATATAATTAAAAAACATAACTTTTCTCATTCAACATAAGTAAATCAATGAAAATAATATATTTTTAAAAATTTTATGAACAAAAGTTGACTCGACAATATTATTAATGAATTTATGAATTGTAAATATTTAATTAAAAATTTTTAATTAAATATAATATAATATAGGATACACAAATATTTGATATATAATGAAGCAGATGATCGAAAAAATTCTATACTTTATATAATGTCTTTTTTGACAAATCTACAGTTAAGAACATGTGAAAGAACAAGATAAAATTTTAAAAAAATATTAAATATAAGAAATAATATGAATAATAACTAAGTTGTGGCACGTACTAATAAATATAAAACAAACTAATAAACAAAAATAATATAATTAATATAACTAAATATAAACCTTCTAAAAATATACTTATCGATTTAATCGAACTGAGTTGTTAAACGCTTGTTAGTTTTTTGTTCTTATTAATTTTATGTGTAAATTTGAGGTGATATACGATAGTTATTTGTACATTTATACATGTAGATTAGAAAAAAAAAATCTTTACTATTCTAATTTTAAATATCTTTTTTTATTTACTATATTAGTTTTCTTAATATGATATATAAGTATCATATTGAACAGATAAAACAAGAAATATTTTAATTATATAATATTTATTATATAAAAAATGTTACTCAATTAGTAAATTAATAGGTAATCTTGGGATAAAATAATGAGTGATTTCTGAAAAAAAAAATTATAGGAACTAAAAAGTTCACGTTTTTAAAATATTTTTAATAAAAAAATTGTAAACACAATTTCTCAATAAAAACTACATAAAAAATGTAAGAAATTTTATATCCACCCTATATGTAATTAAAAAACATAAATTTTCTCAATTCAACATAAGCAAATCAATGAAAATAATATATTTTTAAAAATTTTATGAACAAAAGTTGACTCGACAATATTATTAATGAATTTATGAACTGTAAATATTTAATTAAAATGTTAATAAAATATTGTAATTAAATATAATATAATATAAGATGTACAAATATTTGATATATAATGAGGCAGATGATCGAAAAATTCTATTCTTTATATTATGTCTTTTTTGACAAATCTACAATTAAGAACATGTAAAGAACAAGATAAAGTTTTAAAAAAATATTAAATCTAAGAAATAATATGAATAATAACTAATTTGTGACACGTACTAATAAATATAAAACAAACTAATAAACAAAAATAATATAATTAATATAACTAAATATAAATCTTCTAAAAATATATTTATCTATGTAATCGAACTGAATTGCTAACCGCTTGTTAGTTTTTTGCTATTATAAATTTTATGTGTAAATTTGAGGTGATAGACAATAGTTATTTTTACATTTATACATGTAGATTGAAAAAAAAAAATCTTTATTATTCTAATTTTAAATAACTTTTTTATTTACTATAATAGTTTTTTTAAAAAAAAATAATATATAAGTATGATATTGAACAGATAAAACAAGAAAGATTTTAATTATATAAAATATAGTATGTAAGAAATGTAACTCAATTGGTAAATTAATAGGTAATCTTGAGATAAAATAATGAGTGATTTCTGAAAAAAAAAAATATAGGAACTAAAAAGTTCATGTGTTTAATATATTTTTAATAAGAAAATTGTAAACACAATTACTCAATAAATACTACATAAAAAATAATGTTTGAGATGACTACAAAAATTTTGCTATACTGCAATGAAAAATTCAACGGTAAGGTATTCTATTGAAAATTTCAACGAATATGTTGCTTTCATTTATTCCAATAGAGTTCAAATTAAATTACATGAACATTAGTGGATGTAAAGATTTCAATTACCTTAATTTCTATTGGAATTTATTTTTTGGACCATATTTCAATTTGTAGAAGAAGTTCACATCCTTTCAAATTGGATTAATTGAGTTAAAGAATTTTACCTTACTGAAAATTTCAACGAATATGTTGCTTTCATTTATTCCATTAGAGTTCAAATTAAATTACATGAACTTTAGTGAATGTAAAGATTTCAATTACCTTAATTTCTATTGGAATTTATTTTTTGGACCATATTACAATCGTTGAAAAAATTGTCATTGGTATTACGCAAAAATTAAATAGAAGTTCCATTGAAAAGATAATTGCAGTGATAGATCCAAAATAATTTCATACTGGGAGCATTATTTAGTTAATAGAAAAAAAAAATATACCATCAAAATAACATGTCATTGCAATTTATAAATTAAACTTTACATAATCTATCACCTTTCTCATTTGTAATACATTTTAATAAATCTATGCAATCACAATAAGGTAAAATATATTTAAGAAACCAAAAGTCAAGATTTTTCTAAAATCAACATAAGAAAATCGTTATACTTGTTGTAATTTTTGTTAGAATTTTCTCATTTTCTTGTAGTAAAACTAAGACTCATAATCTATAAAAAATGCATTATATATAATATTGTGTGCAACTATTATTATGAAAATTTTTGATACGATAGAAAATATAACACATTCAATGTAATCGGCGTTCAATTCATGATAAGAATTAATTTTTTTCAAAGCAAACAAGATACTTTGAAAGGATGCATATTTTAATCATGACTCCATAATAATAAATTTTACAAATGACTAAAAGTATCGTCATATAATGGAATTCTAATTCTTCTGTTGTCAAATATTTTAACAAATGATATGCTTCTCAATATTTTCTCATTTCATTGTTTTATCATTGCAAAAAATAGATTATATTGTTCGTCTATATTCTAGATAAATAACACTAAAAATGAAATGTAGGAGTATCATAACAGTTTTGAATGTTAGAATTAAGTTGTCACTTTTTATAGAAATATTTATAATCTCATTGGTGTATTGTGCTTGAACATATGTGCAATTACTTTAGAGGTACTTTCAGGTAATGTATGATGATTTCAAAAAATAATTTAGCACCTCGGGAGAAGTACATGTAACCAAGATTTTGGAAAGTCAACTTTTATTTGGAGATAAAATTCATTCCCACCTCGTGGGGCGATGCATCAATGGGGTAGACACCAATATATCTAGAGATAGAGGAATGTAGTAGTTTATACAGTGATAAAAAATATTAGCAATTTTAGTGACACCGTTAGTTATTTCGTAGAGATATTTATCATTTGTTAGTAGAAGTACCTTGTTATAAAGATCATATGATCATGAAGTTTGACTATATGTTGGGTCATAATGTTTCTTAAGTGTTTGAATAAAATTGGCGTTTTGCCAAATTAATTAGAAGGAATTTTGCAATAGTATTGATGTATTGGACTCCAACGACTATGAATGTTCTTATGAGAACGTTAAAACTAAAATGAAAGAAAATCTTTGTGTTTGTTTATTAGGAATTTGTTTTTTTATATATATTTTTGTTGGGGTTTGTAAAACGTTATTTCACTATTTTTATATGAGGACATCATTATGTTAATTCTAAAAAAAAAACACATATGAGTTCATTTTTTCTATATTTTACTTCATTTATGCAATGATATGTAATAAATAAATTAATTTATTTTACAAACTTATTCCACGAAAATCATTCGACACTACGTGCATCGCACGTGCACTTTACTAGTGTTAGAAAATAAGTAACAAAAAAGTCATTTTCGCAACAAAAATATCCTTCATGTTTTGCAAAAAATGTTCCAATTTCGTCTCTTATATATGAAAATGACCTTTGTGTAACCTTTTTCCAAATATACGAGACAAAAATAAAAAACACAATTCGAAATAGACGAAGAAAAGTTAAAGTTGTAAAAGATATGATAAAATTATAATTTACTCTTAAAGAGAATAATATGAAGGTTATTTCAAACTTCATTTCCTCATAGTTGACGACCCTCGTGTTTAACTCAACACCACATCATCATCATCACCACACCACTACACTCGATAAATGAGATAGAGCGAGAGAGAATGTGCTTGTTAGTCATCATCATCCATGGCGCTCGGACTGAATGCCATCAACTTCCCGCCCAAGTCCCCTCCTTTACTTCATCCCTCACCCTATTTCAACCCCAAATGCAGAGCCCCAACTGCTTTCGCGCGAAATCCCAACAATGGCGGCGATTATCCCTCCCCGGCTCTCGCTCCAAAGTTCACAGGTCCTTTCTCTTTCTCCTTTCTTCCTTCTGTTTTTTACTTTTTCTTGCACCCGCACAAAAGACCACGTTTTCAAGAAAAGATTACGTGCGGCGAGAATCGTTTTTTATGTGTTTTATGTTGTCCGAGATAATTAGCGAAAGTTTTTAATGTTCTTTATGTGGAACTTATTATAATTAAGTAGGACGAGCTAGAACTGCTGAGCCCAGAAGATTGTTCTGTTGAGTAACAGTAACCCTTTTGCCACCATAAGTTCGATCAATGAAAAATTTATCAAATGTTTCCTTGGCATATGCGGTTGGGCTTCATAAACGACATGTTCATTGTTTTCATATATTTGAAAATTTCCATTGAAATTTCTCCATCTAACTTTTTCTTTATTCGGCTCGAAACAATGCATTCACGGGCGTCTTTAAAGAGATGCATATATTGCGAAGTAATCGTCGACTCATGCTAAAAGCAATCAGAAAACTATTTAATGACCCTGCATAAAGTAAGATGGTCATTTCCTATAGCCGAAATTGCTATGAACTGAAATAACAATTCCTTTTATAGTAAGAGTTATTTTTCCGTTAAGATGGTTCGAATTGCACAGCAAATTTTATAGTGTGAGTGCAGAATGATGTGCAGGCAAACCTGAGGCAGATGTAGTAATCATTGGGAGTGGAATAGGCGGACTTTGTTGTGGTGCACTTCTTGCTAGATACAATCAGGATGTTTTGGTGCTTGAAAGCCATGATGTTCCGGGAGGAGCTGCCCATTCCTTTGAGATCAAAGACTACAAGTTTGACTCTGGCCCATCGTTGTTCTCCGGCTTCCAGTCGAGGGGTCCTCAGGCAAACCCACTGGCGCAAGTATTACTTAATCTTTTTATTGTATTTAACTAATGGGATAATTTACCATAAAGTTATGAGGTGTCTATTTGATTTAGTTGTATTATATGTGACTTTAGATGAAATCAATGAAGTTTATTCTTGATTTATTCTTTGAGGTTCTTGATGCATTGGGGGAAACTATCGAATGTGCAACCTATGATTCGTGGATGGTATACATACCAGAAGGTGAATTCTTGTCACGAATTGGCCCGACCGAGTTTTTCAAGGTAAACTTACTTGTCTTTTATCTCTTGTTTCCATAGTAAAACATGGGCTAAGTTTTCATGTTTTCTCATACCTTTGACACCTTTCCTCTAGTGAGTTAGCATTCTCAAGCGTAGGTGAGAAAATCATACAAAACGCGTAAAGGTGAAAAAGGATAAACTAGCAACTAAGTACTGATGTAAAAGTGGTAGTACCTTTTTCTGATGCAAAGAAGCATCTGATAACTGATTAATTAGAGTTGTTCCCAAAAGCTTCGCCGTTTATAGTTGAAAGTGATTAACAAAAAATGCGGATGTTACAAAAATGAGTAAAATGAAATGTACAGTATTGCTCTTTTTAGTTCTGTCTTTGCCCTTGTAACCAAAATACTTCACCAGATATTTTCTAAAATATTCATGAACTCGGAGTTTCATAATAAGAAGGCATCAATATTGACTTGGTTTTTATTTTACAGGATCTACAGACATACGCTGGTCCAGATGCTGTGCAAGAATGGCAAAAACTTCTTGTCAGTATTATTATAATTGTGATTATATTAGTAATTATAATTATTATTATTATTTGATCTTCTTCAGTAACTTTTCAAAGTTAAATTTAGATATATTTGTTGATATACATTTCAGCTAACTGTTTTCTTTTGGTGATATGTATATGTGTGTGTGTATTAACTTCATTTTTCGTTATATATATAGGATGCAATATTTCCGTTATCAGCGGCTGCAATGGCCCTTCCTCCTCTTTCCATACGAGGTGACATCGGAGTTCTTTCAACAGCTGGTGCTCGATACGCACCATCTCTCTTAAAATCTTTTGCTCAAATGGGACCTAAGGGAGCCCTTGGAGCCTCAAAGCTTCTAAGGCCTTTCTCAGAAATAATTGACTCGTTGGGTCTAAAAGATCCATTTGTAAGAAATTGGGTGGACCTTCTCTCCTTTTTGCTTGCTGGGGTGAAATCCGATGGTATACTTTCAGCTGAGATGGTAATAATATTTATTTTTTTTTTCTTTTTACCAAGTTTTTATTGTGTTTTTTGGTCTAAGATCTCTACTCCATCTTTTAGTCAGTAACATAATCTATAATTCCATCTTTGATTTATGTCTCGGTTTAGGTGTGTGTTTACTCTCAAAGTTTTTTATTTTCAGATATATATGTTTTCAGAATGGTACAAACCAGGGTGCTGTCTGGAGTATCCTCTTCATGGGAGTGGGGCAATTGTTGATGCTCTTGTGCGAGGTCTGATGAAGTTTAATGGCCGTCTTTCTCTGAGAAGCCATGTGGATAATATAGTCGTTGAGGATGGTCGAGCTATAGGAGTTAAGCTGAGAGGTGGACAAGTGAGTGGAAAATGTGAAAAAAGCTGAAACAATTTGTGAAAATCAATTAAAACAATTCTTATCATCTCCAGATCTTCTGCATCAGCTAACAATCTCGAATTTCTGCTTCATTCAGTTTGTTCGTGCTAAAAAGGCTGTTGTCAGCAATGCATCCATGTGGGACACACTTAATCTTTTGCCAAAGGAAGTTGTTCCAAAATCATATCAGGAAGGGATTGAAAAGACTCCACAATGTGAATCATTTATGCATCTGCATTTGGGCTTCGATGCTGAGGTGAGTTTTCATATGATTTCAATCTTTTGTTTTTCCTTTCCATTTTTCTTTCTGTCGAAATGGACTGAAAATTCGTAGTTACATTTTTAACTCTGATGTCCATAGTTTTGATAGAAAATGGATAGAAAATTCCTCAGAATCTGTGATGCATATTCCATTAGTCATTCTAAAATGTTAAAAATCCACATTAAATTGAACTATTATAAAAACCATTTCCTCAAAATTATTCATGATTGTTACCGTGCATTTTATTTACCTTAATTTTTTATTGCGCTTCCTTATGATTGTAATCCCACCATGATTAGGGTATACGTGAAGACCTTGGAATTCATCACATAGTTGTTAATGACTGGGAGAGAGGAGTCGACTCCAATCAAAACGTGGTCCTAATATCAGTGCCTAGTGTGCTTAGCCCCAATCTTGCACCACCTGGAAAACACGTGCTACATGCCTACACACCTGGGACTGAGCCGTTTGAGCTTTGGGAGGGTCTCGACCGAAAGAGTAGTGAGTACAAGCAACTCAAAGTTCAAAGGAGTGAGGTATTGTTACTCACACGTCAATGTTTTTTTTCTTTTCCCTTGCTTAATGAATTTTTTAAATTCAGTGACTTGTGTGATAGTTTTGCCCCCCCTGTTCGTTGATTTTGTCGTGGCATTATTATGTTTTGAATATTCTGAACTTGCCATGACACGTTTTGGCTTTTTATTACTTTCCTATTCCAAAAAACATGACAAGTTCTTTAACAAAAGGTACACTTGCAGTTAATTTTGTGCTCATTTGAAGTTGTGCTATCTGCAACAGGTAATGTGGAAAGCTGTGGAGAGAGCTGTTGGTCCAGGCTTTGACCGGGAAACATGCGAGGTGAAGTTAGTTGGGAGTCCACTAACTCATCGAAGGTTCCTTAGACGCAATAGAGGGACTTACGGTCCGGCTATAAAAGCTGGCAAGGGTTCGTTTCCTGGGCACTCGACCCCAATTGCGCAGCTCTTTTGCTGTGGGGACTCGACTTTCCCGGGCATTGGTGTCCCAGCAGTTGCTGCCAGTGGTGCCATTGTTGCGAACTCGCTTGTTCCGGTTTCACAACATTCAGAGCTTCTTGATGCTGTTGGGATATGACGATAAACAAAAGATACTTGGTCAGTTTATTTGCAACACGATCAATTGGAAGGTTATGTTGTGGGAATGATGATATATGTGAATGTCATATAATGTAGGTGTTTTTTTTAAAAAACTTATTAACTTAAACAAATTTAAACTTAAACAAAATTGAACTTTATTAGTTGTGTGGAAATTCGAATCAGGACGTCTTCAATGTGTACACAAAGCATGTATTTAAGATTTTCGATATGAATTTTGAAGAGGGCTTTGGATAAATTTCTTGTTTTATATCTAAATGCAAAATGTGTTGTTAGGACTTGTCATTCAAGAAAATATTAATGAAATTATTAATTATATTTGTCATCATGCATAATATATAAGATGAGTCGAGATCATTCTCATGGTAGATAGTGAAAGAAATAAGAATAAATTTAGATCATTACATACATCATATCAAGGGTTAAAATTAAGTCAAATTCTGGTCAATCATTAATGGCAATATTGTAATTTACCATTCAATGGTGGTTAAATATAATGTTTGTCTATTTATTAAGGATAAATATGTCATTTGTCAAAAATCCAATTACCATTGGGACTCACACAAACACCATCCACCACGTAACTTTAAAAATTTCGGATTGACCAGCATTTGACTAATTAGAAACCCAAGCTATCTCTCCCGCACACTTACGGTTCTCTCACACACAGTATACACAAACACACATAGTAGAAACACACACTCACACGCACAGAGATAAAAAAAACCGGCAGCACCACCGTCTACCACCGGTAGCCCCCGCCGCCCCTCCTCCGTAGACATCCAGTCCGTCAATATGCACAGATTGCCATCTCCTCCACAAACACACTGCCAACCTCCGGCCGTCCACCCCGACACATCTTGCCGCCGTCTTCATATGCCTAGTCCCGCCATATCACTACGACTAACGGCCGCCTGAGCTTCGCCGACCAAGGTTGAATAGCTAAAACACCGGCCAAGGTTCAACCCGAGAAAAAAGAAATAAATAAATGGCAACCACCAGCTGCCGCCGTCTTCCATATGCCCATTTCCGACACCGCACGCACGTTGTTGTACGGCTATAATGTAATTCCGGCAACGATGTATTTTTCTCCGGCAGCTTCTGCGGTTGTTTGCATTTGATAAACTTCGGCGTGTCTGACTCTAAGAGTGGTGTCCGACAACGGTGGAAATTCGTCCGCATAACCTCCCCTACAAACTTATTTGTTTAAATGACCTTCTAAGTCAAATGTTCATTTAAAATTTAATAAGTAATGATTTTAAATATCAAATTACTATTATATCCTTAAGACCAAACACTCATTTTCTTCTTCTTCCTTCTCCCTCATTTTTTTCCCGCAGTTTAATCTCTCTCACTCGACCGCTCTCTCTGTCTGTTGTCTCTGTTCTCTCTCTCGATCTCTCTCGCAACAAACATGCTCTCTCGACCTTCCTTCTCGCGCCGGTCACTATGGAACTATCTCTTGCTGTCAATTCTGGTAGGAATCTTGTTTAGGGTACAATGTTTTTTTTTTCCAGTTTTTGTATTTTTTTGTGTGAAGGTTATAATGTTGTTGAGCCATTTGTGTTATTAATTACATTCTTTTGAATGTTTAATATGTGTTATGTATGGTGAAAGTGAGGTTAATGGTTGAAATGTTTGTAGGATTTGGTTGGTGAATTGGTGCCCTCTATGTGTTTGATAAAATGCTCATAAGACGGTAAATTCGTGCACTTTATGTGTTTGATGAAATGGTTGTAGGATTGAGTTGATGAATTGAAAATAATTAGACTTATATGTTTGTAATGTAATATTTAACGAATGTACATTCGTTATAGAAATTTTGGAAATGACTATATTCTCATTTTATAGTAACATTTAACGAGATTTTTTGAGTTTAATACCTTTTTAAAAATTAATATCGAGGGGCCGTGACGATGATCGCCGACCATCTGAGGATTGACTACGCCGGATGGGAGGGAGTCAAGGGAGAGGATTCGCTAGATTTGGCGGCCCTGGTTCACATGGACTATCTGAGGACTGACCTGCGAGGTCAGATGTTCTTCGTACAGAAGCTGCCCGACTATTTTCCTCTCCCCTATCCACAGCTGACAGGACTCCACAGAGAGAGAAATCTGAAGATGGACACCGCCGAGCGTATACGAGCCATAGAGGATAGGCCGATAGTGGGGGTTCTCCGGAAACTCGCCCCGCGGCTAAATGCGACTGACCGAGCAGCCGAGAATGAGGAAGAAGACGACATAACCGCCTTTGAGGGCGAGGATGCGGGTGCCCTCGTGCAGTACGAGGGTGATGGCACGATCCCCGAGCGGCTGGACCCAAACCAGGATGGACCGGAGTCCTCCCGAGCGGCTAAGCAGAGGCAGAGACAGAGACATAGGCGTCGTAGAGAGCTGGACATGGAGGAGAGGATGATGATGCTCGAGCGGGAGATGCACGAGCTGAGGACAGACGTACGAGGTCTGAGGGATGAGAACCGTGCGTCTACGGCCCGACTAGAGGAGCGGATGGCGAGCGGCTTCCAGCAGTTGTTTGACTGTATGCAGAGACACGAGGGGATTTTTCCCCCTCCTCAGTCGTGATTTCAGGAAGTTAGTCCCCTAAGATATACCACTTTTTCTTTCAAATTTGTTCTTTCTCGAAAGAATAAGTTTGGGGGAGGGGTGCGGCATATCTTAGGTTTTTATCCTAGTTATCTTGCATTGCATGTAGGTTGCATTAGTTTATTTTACTTTTTATGTGTTTATTTGAGTAGAGCACGTTTATTTGTTTTCTAGGAGTAGGTTTTATATTGAGTCTATTTTTTGTGTATTTTGGGCTTTATGGTTGATGATGGTATGTATAACTTGAATGGTGGATTGTGATTTAATGTGATTGAGAAAATGTGATGGGGTTGTAATTTGTTGTGCCTAGATGAAAATGCTTGTGAACCTTGAATTAGCGATATATGAAGCCTAGTAAGACTTGAGCCTTTATTCTTTGTCTGTGTGTGTCAATTGAATTCCCGAGTTATTAGAATTTGCCTTGATTCTTACTTGAAAAAATGCATTGGTGATTATGAGCTTTAAAAATGATTAAGGCAGTTTTTGAATTAGCTCGTTTGTCCTTGTTCTTTGTCCTTAAAAATATTTTTAACTAGTAGTCCGTTTGAGCCTTCAGCCTTTTTATCTTATTTATTTTGTGAGTTGGTTATTGTTTGGGATGGATGGGGATAACGGTGTTATTTATTGAATGATTAGATATGGAATGCAGTGTAATTGAGTTGCATTTAAGGTGATTGACCGAAAAAAAAAAAAGAAA